AGCCCTGAGTTCTTGCTAAATGCAGCCGATGACGGGAATGACACTAGGTGGTCAGTGAGAAGGTCCTCTCTGGATTTAACTCAGCTGTGATACCATCACCTCTGGAAATTCTCATCCCTGAGCTGTTTTACTGCATATTTTAACTACACACACGTGAAGGAGAGAAGACTGACATTGAAGAGGGAGGTAGGTGTGGGAGAATGGGCTTGAGGCTCTGAAGGCCTCAGCTTTCCAACCACCACCCTGGGGTGACCTGTCAGATTTTGTTATTGGCTTAAACTACAGAGATTTTCTCAGTTAACAAAAAAGTCCTGAGTGTAGGAGGCACTAAAAGGCATTTCCTCAGACCCGCTCCCATGGCATCAGCCTTTGTCCTTTACCGGATAAGGACACTAGTAGAACTGTAATAAGCTGCTTATGAAGCACCAACGATATGTCTGAACTGCTCTGTATACTAAGGGAAGAGCAGCGATCAAACAGGGGAAAGAGACCTGCCAGGCTGTCTCGCAAGGGGAGGACTGCAACTCATGCAGAGGTGGGCACTCCTTTTGAGGGGTGGAATGGGAAGGAATGGGGGCTTAGTGTACTTGGCGCGCTGATTGGTGGCTTAATGTATGGTCCATATAGGAACAAGGGCTTAGGGTATTTGGCAGGTGTGGATTGGTGGTTCAATATATAGTCCATACAAGGTGCCTGGTTAGGTACTCAGGTATTTCCAGGCCGCAGATTACTTCATACTCCACCCACCAGTTGGGGGAAGGGAGGATCTATCACCAAGTAATCTCTTTAGAGCAGGTGGGCTGGGGGACTCGGAGAAGGGCTGGGGGGTAGAGAATGAGCCAGCAGCTGCTATGGAGACCTTGTGACTCTTGGAAACCATGGAGTGAGACAGGAGGAAGCAGAGAGGAGGAAGCCCTCTGTTTCCCTGTGGAGGTGGCACCCGTGTCACAGACCACGGCAGCCAGCAAAGGCTCGACCTGCCAGTGGATGGTCTAGTGGGCCCAGCACCCCACACCCACCTGATGCTCCCTTCCTGGGCCCCAGGACCCCATTCGGGCCACTGTGTACATTTCTTGTAGAATAGTCTTCCCAAGGCACATTTCATAACATTCCCCACCTGTCCCTAAATGCTTTCTCTGGAGCCTCCACTACCTTCTGACTAATTTTGACACTGCAGTCAGCACACGAGCAACAGTCCCATTAGCAGTGACTCCAGGACTGGACTCTGGTCCCCATTCCCTTCACCTGAGTTGTTCCCTCACATCTGCCTCCTGGAAAAACAACTCCGGATGCTCCCAGCCTGGAGGGTCCCCAACTTCTTCTGAGCCAGCAAGGAATGGCAACCTGGGTCCCACCCCTGCAGGAAACTCAGTTCTGCCAACAACCAGAATTCGCAAGAAACAGACTGTTCCCTGGACCCTCCAGAAAGGAGCCAGCCTGCAGACACCTGGATGTCCGCCCGGCCAGGGCCATGCTGGGCTTCCCACCTACAGACATGTGCAGTAAAGAATCTGTGTTGCATTAGGTCATGAAATGTGTGGTTTTTATTACAGCAGCTTACAAAGCTAATACAATAAGGATTTTGTGAAAATGTGGTGGGTAAACTGTGGGGGTGAAAATCTGGATGAAGCTCAGATGCAGAGTGAAGACCATTAACCAATTTATTTAACAAATGTAACCTGACAACCACCTGCCGGGTGGATGGGACACAGTGGTGACCAATCACAGTGATGGTGATGGAGTGGCTTTTCCCCAGGACCCAGCAGTTACAGGAACCTCTGGGAACATCAGCGCATGCTCAGCCTGGAGTGTCTCTTTCCCGGAGATGGGCCACAATGTGATAAAAATTCCACTGCAGTTCACCTGGCTCCCTTCCCCCCAAATTCATGCCTCACACATGAGCTTTAGGGATGAAGCTGGAGGGTTGGTTCAGTATCATGATCACAGGTCAGAAGCTGGTTTGGCCTCTAGTCCCTTCTCAGACCCTATGCTGTGGTCACTGTGAGTTCATTCTGTGGAAACATCATCATGGAGAGCCAGGCATTGGAGCAGTGGACCATGGCTGACAGTCCTCTTTGAAGGAACCAGGTTGGTGTGGCCTTCATAGTCACCTACAGTGACCTTCACCCTGGGGCCCTGGATAGGGAACCTCAGGCTGCCTATGACCCTGCCCAACAGGAATAGACTGGAGGTGGAGATCGGGTCAGAGGTCAAACACCTCCCAGCAGCCCTAGTTTCTGCATGAATTATGTCACTTCCCTGAGCCCTGCCTTTCTTTCCACACTTTCAATGAGGCCACCTCACAGGGGTGTTGTGAGGATTGGGGAGTGAGATTCACCTGAAGCACTTAGCCCAGCACCCACCACCTTCTAAGTACCTGTGAATTGAGCTATGGTTGCAGGAAGGGAGCTGAGTCACTTTGGAAAGTTAACTCCCTGCACCCTGGTCTCCTCATCTGTCATGTGGAAAAGTTGAAAGATAACTAGTGAAGTGCTTCACTCAGTGAGTTTTTAGTAAGTATGTTCCTGATGAAAGTATGTTCCTGCTGTGAGCTTTTGCTGTGAAGCAGGCCCTCAGCTCAGGGCTGGGCAGAGGGAAGCAAAGACCTCTCTTCTGCCTGAGGGTCCTCCTTGCCATCAGCTGAGCCTGA